GCGCCAATTACACTAACAACTACAACAACTACTACTACCACAGCTACAACTACAATTACAACTACACTAACTACTTACACTGCAGCACACTACAACTACAAACACAACTACTGCAACCACACTACATTACACAACACTACGCTACACTGATTACATTGCATTACACTACAACTACAACTGCAGCTGCAGCTGCAACTGCAACAACATCTACTACACTAAACTACACACACACTACACTAAACTACACACACTACATTACACTACACTACGCCACTGCACTACACTACAACTACAACTACACTACACTACGCTAATTACATTGCACTACACTACACTACAACTACAACTACACTACCTTACACTAGACTACACTACACTATACCACACTACACTACACTACACTACAGAACACTACACGACATTACGCTGCATTACACTACACTAATTACACCATACCACGACTACAACTGCAACCGCACTTGCAAATACACTAATTACACTACATTACAGCTACAGCTCCACTACACTACACTACAACTACAGCTACAACTGCAACTACAACTACAACTGCACCACACCACACTACATCCAGCAGCTGTAGTAAGGTGACCACTGCAACCATTGCAACCATTCCAATTACACCACAGTAGACCCCAAACAGTGGGTGGATTCAAGAAGTGTTTTGAGGAACTTGAGGCCGGGGGTGGATGACGAAAGCTAGCGGGGTAGGAGAAAGAAGGAAGGGAAGAGGTGAGTTGCGGAGGGACTGTCATCATCGTGTCGCGGCATTGTTCGTCCCAACGAGGATGCAACAATGATATATTGATATATGATATATAACAATGATATATATGGGGGAGGGGGCAGGGGGGCCCTTTCGCGGGAAAAATCACGTGATGTCCTTGGGGAGCCCCGGAATACGTGCTAAAGCAAGAAGACTCTAGCGAGCTGACGCTAGCTTTCGTGATAATGACAATAATTGCCAATAATGATAAAATGTAATTGAATAACGATGATGACGATGATGATGATGACGATGATGATGATGATGATACTGATGATGAATGATGAATGATGAATGATGAATGATGAATGATGAATGATGAATGATGAAGATGATGATGATGATGACGATGATGATGATAGATAATGATGATGATGATGATGATGATGACGAGGATGATGATGATGATGATGATGACGATGACGATGACGAGGACGATGACGAGGACGACGATGACGATGACGATGACGATGACGATGACGATGATGATGATGATGATGACGAGGACGAGGACGCGGACGAGGACGAGGACGATGGAGAGGACGATGACGATGATGATGACGATGATGATGACGATGATGATGACGATGATGATGATGATGGTGGTGATGGTGGTGATGGTGGTGGTGGGTGAGGGGGGGGGGGATCCCCCCCTTTCGCGTGAAAAATCACGTGATGTCCTTGAGCAGCCCCCCCAATACTTGCTAAAGCAAGAAGACTCCAGCTAGCTGACGCTAGCTTTCGTGACAAGCTCAAGCACATCAGAAAGCATTAAGAACCCCTAACAGTACACTGTTTGGGAGTCAAGATGGGAGACAAGACCTCGGGAAGGCGGACACGCCATCCAACACCAAGGCGGAGCTTAAGAAAGCATTATAGAACCCCTGACAGTACACAGTTTGGGGAAAAGCAAACTGAAACCACCCGCCACAAAGGGAAACAAGAAGAGAGACAAGCTGGGAGACAAGGGAGACAAGACCTTGGGAAGGCGGGCACACCATCCAACACAGAACACACATGTGGGGGAGGCAATCAGAGACAATTGGAGACAAAGGGAGAGAATGGGACATGGGAGGCACACATGTGGGGAGACAATGGGAGACAATGAGAGACAAGACCTCGGGAAGGAAGACACATCATCCAACACAGGCACACAGGGGGAGGGGGACAATGGGAAACAATGGGAGACAAGGGGAGACAATGGGATACAATGCGAAACTTTTTGGAGACAATGGAAGACAAGGGGAGACAAGGCGTGAGACAAAAAGCGAGATAGGGGACAAGACCTCGGGAAGGCGGACACACCATCCAACAAAAGGGGAGACAAGGGGAGACAAGACCTCGGGAAGGCGGGCACACCATCCAACAAAAGGAAACAAGAAGGGAGACAAGGGGAGACAAGACTTCAGGAAGGCGGACGCCATGTAACAAAAGGAAACCAGAAGGGACACAATGGGAGACAAGGGAGACAAGGGGAGACAAGACCTCGGGAAGGCGGACACACCATCCAACAAAAGGAAACAAGAAGGGAGACAAGAGGAGAGAAGACCTCGGGAAAGCGGAAGGAGGACACCTTAAGAAAGCATTAAGAACCCCTAACAGTACACTGTTTGGGGAAAAACACAACTCCAACCACCTGTCGGTCCATCAGTGTCTTCGCTCTGCCATCCGTGATTCACAACAACCAACCTCTCCTATAGGTTTCCTATTTTTGAAACTTCCGCCTCCGCCTTGTGCGGTACTACTGGTATTTAGGTATATGGACATATATGGACCACAATTTATATTCCACAGAGGTCGATCCCGCCATGGAAAGCCCTCAGCTATCCCTCAGCTGAGAGGCGGCCGCCTATCATCCCAATCGGTTACCAGTTCCATCCAGTTGGTTGCTGCATAGCTATGAACATCCCCAAACAAAATCGCCAAATGTTCGTCTGACAACCTTGAAAAGATGGTGCCCATCTTGTCAAAACCGAATGGTTATTCTGTGACCAGAAACAGGCGGCCCATCCCCCAGTTGCAAGCTACTTTGTGATGGGACCGGCACTTGACTGCAGCTCAACAATATCCTCAGTGTCAGCTGATGAAACATGGGCTGGGTCAAAATTGGGGTACCAATGTAACCACAAAAGCTGTCATGATTAGTACTAAACCACGAATTTTGGGACCCATACCGAGTTCGATACTCCCCCAGTGTTAGCGCCGTGAACCAGCGGTGGATCACAGGGTTGAAAAGAAAATGGCAGGAAAATATCGATTCCACCATCAAGCGAGGGGGTCCCTTGAACCAATTTTGGGAAAAGGACTTGTTCGTTCCACCATTGACACAAAAACCGTTGTTTCAAGAACAATCTTATTTGGAGAAGCCCGTAGCACATCCAATGTGGTAAACCCAAACAATTCCCCAAACCGCGTGTCCACACTGAGGGGTTTCTCACAGTAAGAGCGGAGGCCGGTGCTTGATCAGGGTGCTCCATCTTGCATTTTTGCTGTAAATTCTCGCCTAACATGGTTTTTGTGCAATGTTGACACCCATTTCGACTGCGCAGGCTCGCACAAAGTGTGGGTCGTGGTTCTGGCCCGCGGCATTTTACCTAATTATAAAATTCAACACAACTGGCTCTTCTGACATGTCCATGTGCATTTCGACTGCGCAGCCTCGCACAAACGGGTGTCACGCTCCTGGGGCCCGGGGCATGCCATTTTTCCTATAAATTCTCGCACAAGCTGGCTCTTGTGACATCCAAGTGCATTTCGACTGCGCTGCCTCGCACAAACGGGCGTCGTGCTCCTGAGCCGCGCCATTTTTCCTTTAAATTTCTGCATAAAAGGGTTTCTGTGGCCATGTGCATTTCGATTGCGCAGGCTTGCACAAGCATGTGGCGCGGTCTTGGTCTGCGGCATTTTGCCTGTCAATTTCCGCATGAAATGGCTCTTGTGCAATGTTGACGTGCATTTCGACCGCGCAGGCTCGCGCAAAGTGTGGCTCGCGGTTCTGGTCCGCAGCATTTTACTTGTAAATTCTCGCACACAAAGCGGCTGTGAAATGTCCAAGCGCATTTCGACTGCGCAGGCTCGCACAAAGTCTGCGTCGCGATCGTGGGCCCCGGCATTTCCCCTTCAAATTCTCGCACGAAATGGCTTTTGTGAAACGTCCAAGTGCATTTCGACTGCGCAGGCTCGCACAAAGTGTGGCCCCCGGTCTTGGTCTGCGGATTTTTACCTGTAAATTCTCGCGCAAAATGGCTTTTGTGAAACGTTCAAGTTCATTTCGACTGCGCAGGCTAGCACATCCACTTCATCTTCTGCATTATCGCCCTCATTCTCATCCTCCTCAACATCATCATCCTCAACACAATATCATCAGCATCCTCCACCTCATCCCTCATCATCGTCAACATCATCCTCTTGCAACTCATCATCCTCAACATCAACATCAACATCAACATCATCATCATCATCATCATCATCATCATCATCATCATCATCATCATCATCATCATCATCATCATCATGCTCTTCATCATCAACATTATCATACATTATCCTCCCACTCCCCCACACTGTTAGTTTGGGGTCTCTTGCCGGGGAAATTTGAAACTTGTTCAAAGTGAGAATTGTAAGACTGGGGGTGGTTTATGGTTCTGAGTTCTGAGTTTGCCACGTTATGATCAACACATGGCTGCTTCTTACAACATGGCCACTTCGTATTGCTTGGTTGAAACCTCCATCCGGTCGTATTTCCACGTGTGTTACGCATCAGCTGGTAAAACTCCATGTATGATACATGTTTAAACCTGCAAATATACCCACATTCAATGGACGAAAGCTTTTCTTATCAGTCCTATCTTCTAAACCACAGTTGGTTAATGTTTTTGTACGCGGTAATTTCCCATCTACATCAATATTGGGGACTGTCTTACTCCAGGAACTGAGGATCCCATTCACCAACCATTATTTCAGGGAACCGCCCGTGATTTTCCCATATCTTTTGTTTGCTTCCTCTTGCTGAGCCGGTGCTCCTGGCTGATATAGATCGAATAGAGTCCACGCTTATTCGCTTCCAGCGCCAGCACGTTGTCTCCGCTTCGAACCTCGCACCCAGGGGACATCCCCAGGCAAGGAATATATCTGAACAATATCTATCAATATCCAACAGTGATGATTTACCAATGGATCTACCCCCAAAGGAACTCTCCCTCCCTCGCCCCCTCCC